CTTTCGTAAAACGTGGTTTCGTGAGAACGACCTGAGGCCCAAACCTGGCGGGCGCAAGCCTGGAGAATAGCGGCCGCGGCGCCCTCTCGAGAACCGGAAACGGACAATTCACTCATCGACGTGTCACTGTTAGGAGGTCTGTCCACCCCCGAGAGGAGCCCCAGAGAGAAACCCCAAGCAGCGGATGGTGTTCGGCGGCGCCCTGAGCGCCGTTCGCGAGGCCGCGGCGCGCGTGCTGCCCGGGCCGTCGCGGGGTTGTCGTGTGGGTTCTTGTGCAGCAGGGCCGGACCTGAGCGGTGCTGTTGGTGATTTCCTCGGGCCGTTTTTCAGGTCTTGCGCCCACCAGGAAACAAAACCGAAGCTCCGACAACATATTTTTGCATTTTTTGAAATGTGTTTTGGTGGCGCCGAAGGATGGCGCTATCGCGCGCACGTCCCAACTTGGACTATGTGGCCAACCGCCACTCGAGACAGGAGCGAGGGAGGACGAAAGCAGAACGAAAACGAAGAACACCGTGTAGGCTCAGCCCTGTTGTGTGGGGCCCTCGTGGGCCGCAGCGTGGCTCTCTCGTGGGCTGCTCGGGCGCAGCCTTCGGCTCCGCGGCGGGACCAGAGCGCGGTTTTGCGGGGCCTCGGCTGTGTTATGCTTTTCGTTTTGGCAGGGAGGTACAGTCGCGGCCCTGAAGAAGGAACCCTTTTGGTTGGGGAGGGGCTCCGCGTTTCTTAAGTGTTTCGCAGCTTGCCTCAGGTGTTCCTTATGTTTTCGATAGGAAATCGAAGTTTAACTTATGGAAAATAGGGGCCTCGTTCCTTATTTAGGGTTCCTTAGGTCAAGGCCCCGACTGTACAGGAAAAGTATCGTTGATCCGACCCCCATCCCCCTTCCCATCCCCTTCGAGGCCCCCACCAAATTGCCCCCCCTGTTGGGGAGATGCACCCCGCGAAGCCCGAAGGGAACGGCCCATATCCCCATCTAGGGGGGCACATTGGCCAATGGGGCCCAGGCCACGCTGGTGGGGATGGGGGTCGGCTGAACGATACTTAGGAAAGCAGGTAGAGCAAAGCGAACAAAACGACAAACAACGTTTATATGTTTAAAGTCGGGCCTGTCCCTCCTCAGGAGGAACATTCGAAAATAGTCAAACAATAGTCTGGAGACTATTGCTTGTTGAGAATGCCTGGATTATCTTGGGACATTTCTTTGACTCTCTGAAATTTGTCACACAACGTCCGCCTGTAGGAGGACCTGCCCGACCTAAGTTTAGGTCCAGCCCTGTTGAGCTCTTCTTGGCCGCCTGGGTGGTGACCTCCATAGACGCATGCAGAAAAACTGTGCCTGACAGCATTTTGGCATTCGACCGCGCCGCCACGTGCAAGGGAGCACGGTGGCGGCCCATCGAGCACTTGTTGTACCGCGGGATGGGGGCTGTTACATGTTACGGTAGGCTTAGGTCGGGCCTGTCCCCCTACAGGGGAATTCTGGGCGAAAAATGGAAAATGCAAAACATGCCCCCCCAAATTGTCAAAAATAGTAGAAACTCGTTCCTCTATTATTTTTGACTATTCTTGAATATTCCCCTGTAGAGGGACAGGCCCGACTTAACGGTAGGTTCGTGTCGTGCTTGAATGCGTGTTGCAACTGTGCGTTAGACGCTCTATGTGTCCGAGCAGGTACTTCAGAGAGCCAAGCGGCGTACGGACGCACGTGTATGCACATTGGAAGGTTCAACGGCTGTGAACGACTAGCGATAGCAACGGGCAGCCAGTAGTTAGGTGCTGGTAGCATCTTCTACATTGCCCGGTGTGGGCGGTGTAGATGCTATGATACGCTCCTCATTGATACTCATGCGGGAGAGAGTCGTTGCGTTGCGTGATTTGGCAGCCAGCGCCTCTGTTGCCATGTCCGCAACAAAGAATTGTCGACGAGTGATCGGGAATACCACGAGACGTGTTCTTGCTGTTGCTGCTGCTGCACCTTCACCTCCTCCCAGGAAGAGGGTGGATGAACAGGCGGAGAGGACTGAGTGAGGGGAAGGGAAGGAGAAGACAGCAGGGAACGGGGAAGGAGGAGAAGTCGAGGAAGCGCCAACATGGTGGATTAGTCGTATGGGTCCCATTTCCAAACGAATTCGACGCGCTTCGTCGCCAAGTCGTGCGGCAAAATGCCACAGAAGCACGGGTCTTTACAATTCATGACAGTGTGCGGTCCAAGACTTGATATCGCTCGGACGTGTGCATGTTTTCTCGGCCAGGACCATCGAGGAGCATGCCGTGCTATCTTGCAGAACCATACACGCACGGAACCGAAACATGCACGGGAATGAACGTCCGAGCGATGGCGAGAAGAAGGAACGAGGTCGAGGCACCACTTGGGTGAAGTCGGCATCAACGCCACCCCCGGATAGTTGGAAGGCGTGGGCAATATAGGTAAAAGGACGTGGAAATTTCGGCAGCACGAGTTGATGATGATGTTGATGATGATGACGACGACGATGATGATGCAAGGATGAGAATGATGATGTGGATGATGATGATCTTGAAACTGATAGTAATAATGATGTTGATGATGTTGTTGTTGATCATGATGATGATGCTGATGATGATGATGCTGATGATGATGATGCTGATGATGATGATGGTGATGATGATGAGGAGGAGGAGGAGGCCGAAAGGGCCTCGCATCGAGCACCCAGGAGGGAAGGAGGGAAGTAGACAATCATGGATCGATTGGTCCGATCCGGCACTACACCAGCACCACGGCCGATCCAGGGGTTTACTCTCACTTCTCCTCATCTCTCTCCAGGGCCAAGGCAAGAGCGGGGTGCGCGGCCCGGCCCGCCCGCCCTTTTGAAGCGAAGGGGGGACAGGAGGTATCGGGAAGGGAGGGAGGGATGCAGGGTTTCTCCGAAGGGCTTTGACGACCCGTCCTTCTCCTCCTCCTCCTCCTCCTCCTCCTCCTCCTTCTCGTCTCTTTCAGGGTACCTTAACTCCTCCTCCTCCTCCTCCTCCTCCTCCTCCTCCTCCCCCTCCTCCTCCCCCTCCTCCTCCTCCTCCTCCTCCTCCTCCTCCTCCTCTCACTGAAAGAGAAAGAGAAAGCGGACACGAAGCGAGCAAGGGAGGGAGGGAAATGGGGGAAATCGTTCAAGGGAGGGAGGGAAACGTGGCACGATCTCTTGGGAGTCCGCTCCCCAGAAGCCCGCTCCCCGCATCCCGTGTGTTGGCGGCCGGCGTGAGCGTGCCAATTCGGGGGGGGGGGGGGGGGGCAACGGGCGGGCGAGGCGGAGGAGGAGGGAGGAGGACGGCGTCGACGGCGAGGACGACGAGGGGAGGGGTGAGGGTCGGAGGAGGAGGTGGTGGGCGAGGAGGAGGAGGAGGAGGAGGAGGAGGAGGAGAAGGAGGAGGAGGAGGAGGAGGAGGAGGAGGAGGAGGAGGACCGTAGCCATTTGGGTTCAAGTTCGAAAGCCAGGCCCTAGGTGCTGGAACTTGCCCGCAGCCGAGGGGCAGGACCAAATCCCCGCGCCTGGACAGGCGACGGTTTCGGCAGCCAAGACGTTCCGAGCGGGGGCAAAAACCTGTCTTGCCCTCCGCATCCTTCCGCCCCAAGCTCCAGGTCTATTCCCAGCCCAGGCTTTCAGATCCAGAGGCGCCTCTACAGATGGCACAATGGGCAGCGACTTGGAAGTGCAAGTGTGGGCAGCAGAACTGGCTGAGGGTCACCAGTAGTAGCAAGTGCAGCACGCATTGGAATGCCTCGCCTGGACGAGAACCGAGTGGCAAGCCAGACAGACGACGCCAGAGGTCCAACAGCCAGAAGAGCATCGATCCGAAGCCCTGGGAGGACGACGTGGAGGAGGAAATCAAGGGACTGCCCTTCGTCAGGGTGGCCACTCCAGCGGAGGCGCATGCCAACCCCAACTAAAAGCCTCTCTGTCTCCCAAGGCCGACGAGAGCGAGAATAATACATACTACAAAGAGACGAGGTCCAAGCTCAATCTGCTCCAGCGGACGTACATATCGGCTGGGCCATGAAGGAGCCAGCGCAGTACATCGTCGATCCGATTGCAATGTAACGCAGAAAGCTGATATCAGAAAAATCATTCATTGGAGCAGCAGAGTGTTTGGACAGAGACTACCATTGCCCATCTTATGCTACGACTAGATGCTGCCAGCCAAGTAGTGGAGATCCTGCCGAACATCTTGGTCTGAAAAGTATCGATGAGAGACAATTTCAGGATCAACTAGAGGCACTGCGACGCACCAAGAACGAGATCCGTGCCATGATCCAAGAAGAACAAGAATAATCATACAGAACCCGCGAACAGGACCTGCGGATGGAGATCGAGAGGAAGCGTGCTGTCCAGGAGGAATCGACACCCCATGCGCCTCCAGAGCGACGGCAATAAGTTAGCGTGCCACATGCAACCGGTGGTCCAGCATATGCAGCAGATGCATCAGATGATGCATCAGATGCATAGTTTCCTGCAGTCCATGATGCAGCACAGACCTCAGACTGCGACTACGGCACCAACATCGCCATGTCCCGCTACGATTGCAGCATCATCTCCAGATGCGGTGCTGACCCCGACAGAGCCCTTCGAGCCTATGCCGAGGACCTAGTCTCAGAAGGGTGCAATACCACGTTCAAGCCCAAGGAGAGAGAGCACATGATACAAGAAAGGACGGCCAGATACGAGATCAGCTCGGACGGATCCTACTCGCCGGGAACCAAATCGGAACCCAGATGGAGCCCGACAACATCAAGGAGCCTGGGTGCGAGGCCACATCGACAGGCCAGAATGCCAAGCTCGCATAAGAAGCCGATGAACGACACAACCAAGACGAAGAGCAGCGACCGAGCCATGGCACCGTTCAGCATCCGTCGCCCCAACATGACGCAGGAAATTGTCGACCAGGTGAAGGGTGCCAACAACCGCCAGGCGGTCGTCATAATTGTCCGAGACAGCCAAGAACGCCATGCAGGACCCGCACGGCGAGTGGAC